CTTGCAAAGCACAGAGTTAGGATTTGTACTGGTTTGTATTTTTAGCCCTTTTTGTTGTTTAGAAAAATAGCCTGAATCATTTACCATCTCTTGATTGGAGCGTCTTGCAGTTTGAAAAGCAGGAAGACTGGATTTTCGATAAAGTGGTTTTTCAAAGTAAGTGCAGTGGCTAAGCATTTAGCATAGTAGCTGTTTTTAGTATATGCTTTTTGGTAGGCAGAAGGAAGATAGAAAGTTCAGAATGATAGGTCTTGAAGAATTCTAGTAAAATTTGCTAAGAAATTAAAAAAAAACAAAACAAAAACAAATAAAAAAAAAAACAACTCTTCAAGGCCAGGCACTTGGGACATGGGCACATTGTGCCCAAGTGTCTTGTGTCTGGTCGCAGCGTCCTGGGTAGAGTCAGTGAGGCGCTGCCGCCAGCTTGGGAGACCTGCTGTGGGTTGTGGGCTCCTGGCATCAGCCTGGACCCAGTCCTTACCATTGCAGGTAGTTGGGAAGTGAACCAGCAAATGGGTGCATGTTGTTTCTCTCTGCCTTGCAAATAAATAAGTCAATACCTAAAATTTAAAGTTACGGTTCAAAATTTTTTTTGCTGAGCAAGAATGTACTAGTCTGTATTTAAACTGTCTAGTTTAGGAAATATATCCTCATTTTTGGTATCTTATTAGCTGTGTTTTGAGTAAATTCCTCAGTCATGCGTGTAGTTTGTTTTAAAATCAGAACAACAACAAGACAAAGCAAAACCAGGTAAAGCTCTTGTCATGTTTGAGAGCTGGGGAGATGGAAGGAGATGGCTGCAGTCTTGCAAATGAAAAGTTTTAATAGCCCATTCCCAGCTCTGTAGCAAACAGCCACATGGAAAAGCTGGTTTCCTTGTGAAGAGAAGCTCACCCTCTCGTCTTGATTTGGTGAAAAAATAAAGCATTCCCTTACCGATAGAATGAATAGTCACTGTAAGAAAAATGCTCGCAAACTAGGTTTGAAAAGGTTCATTGACATACAACCTGTCATGGTAGAAGAAACTCAGAACCTGTGGAGATAGCTTCTGTAAAGTGAGCACATACCATTTTAAAAGAAGATAAATTGCATTGTATTGATTATTGATCAATTTTATTCAACATCGTTATATTTTACTAGAGATAATAAAATTTAACACCTTTAACTGACGGAATTCTTGTCTGTTTTAAATGACTAGGAAAGTGAATACATCTGTTCTGTAGACACTGTGCCTGTGATTTGGATTCTGATGTGTGATTTGTTTTTGCTTAGCCAAAATACTTCAGATACATCGTAATTAAGTGAAATCTTAAATAACCCTGATTTAATTCTAGTAAGTCCAAGGAGAGCGTGTAAGATCTTCTTTCTTACATTTAAACCTGAAGATGCCGTATGTGTCTACTTGGGCATTCGTCTAAGCCGTACCACTTTGAAGGGCATCTGGGATATGGCAACAAGCTTAAAAGAGTAGTCTCCTTATGACTGTGCCCCTTAAATTCCTCGCAAGTAAATTCTGCCCAGAGTCATGTCTACCTTATGACAAAATGCAAAAAATAATCCAGTTGCTAAGATTTTGAGCCTGATTTGTTTTTGCTGAAGAGAAATCACTTTCTGAAATATAATACGTACTCAATCATTAAGGTATATAAATTCTGTATGAAGTTTATTTTTACTTTCTTCAAACTATATCAGAGATAATTAGAATAATTTCCTAATCATTTTTCGGAAACTTCCCATTAAATAGAAATTGATTTATAAAGCCAGCATGTTTTCTGTTAAACATCTATCCTCGAACTCTAAACAGAAATTAAAAAAAAAAAAAAGGCAAGGAAAGAGGAGGGGGCATACCAGCTTTTCTTTTTAGCAATTCCTCCTGGAAAAAATCATCACCACTTTCAGTTTGATTTGTTTCATTTAATTCTTGCCACATATACTTCTTATGTCCCTATATGTTTTATATTGAAGTAATCAGCATTGAGGGTTTTTCTGTTCATTTAGATTATTTAAGCTTTCTGATCTATGCTTAGTCCTGAACTGTTTATTGGACCCATACTATTCAATAAGTAAAGCATATAAAATTTACTACATTTTGTATTGATTTAACATTAAGGTTAATCTAAAATCTTTGGGTGCAATGTGTCACATCTGTTTTGTATTCTTCTGTTTAAAAGAAGTGGCAGTGTGGTATTTGGAGGAATATTTATTATCTGACTGTTTTTCTTTGCAACAGTTTCCCTCAATCTAGTGAGAATTATAACCTCCAAGAGACAGTGAATCACCCAGCAGATTCTCAGGTACCCAACAGCTAAAGGGCACAGTTAATTAGAATTTCTATTTGTCCTTTCGGTTCCCTTTCCTTAAATAGTAACTTTGGAGCCTTTGGAAATGATAGAAAATAAATTTACAGTGAGATTAAAAAAAAAAAAAAAGAAAAATGTAACTTTTCTGTTAATAGTTCCAGCTTCTGTACTATACAGATTTTTTGACTTATTTTTTCAGAAAAGACTTTTTTAGATTGTGACTTAACTGTTGTGTTTGAAATGGAATTTTCCATGGCTGGTGATTGAATATTCATATCCTGTGGTGGTGTTTCTTAACCTTTTTTGGGGTCATGGATTTCTTTAAGTAATCAATGAAAGTTATAGCTTTCTTTTCCCAGGGGGGAAAGATGCATACACCAACCATTTTGCATGTAGTTTTAATTAATCGTGCCTTTCTCTACTCAGGAGTCTGAGGGCCCCGGGTTAGGAAGCACTGCGATTATGGAACTAAAAAATCTTCCAGTGTGGGGGCTTTAGCATCAGGTTACGCCTTATTGAATGTCTTCACTTCAAGCATTACTTAATGTTACATTTCCTCCTTGATTATTATATAGTGAAAGATACCTGTAATCTAAGTCTTACTTTGTAGAAACACAATTATCTTTTGATTTTAAAATTAGTCTCTGAAACTATAAACCATATTTGACCTTGCATATGTATATACTTTAGGTCCTACTGTACGTGCTTAAGGAAACAAAACTTACTTCAAGTTTGATTGAGAGGTCAGGGCAATGGAGAGATAAGTTCTTACAAATGTATTGTTTAAGAAAATAGTTCTTTAGAAAACAAATGTTAAATTTGTTACTTGGCAGAAAAAAAAATAGAGGTTCTCATTTTAATGATAGGTTGTGAAGATTTCAGAATTACCTGGTTGTTTATGGGTTGAGAGAAATCTAAATCTGTAAGGGTTACAATCAAATCTAGTTCAGTAGCTTAACCAGCTCTGTGACGTGGGGCCTGATGCTTAAGTATGAAATGGAACCTACTCTTTTAAATGAGAGAATATCCATAAAGTACTTGGTTTTGTGTTTTGAATATAATTTATACTTAATGACCTCTTACACTATTATGACGATAGTTCTGATGAAAATCAAGATGTGTAGCTTTGCTTTTCAAATCTGATGTCCATTTTTTTTTAAAATTGCAAAATTTAGAATAGATCTTGGTTGCAAACAGGTGAGTCTTCACATTTCCTAGAATGTTTTTCTCTAGATTTAGTGGCTTATACTTGTTGTCAGATTCCAATGTGGAGTTCTCTAAATTAGATGGGGGTGGTAAATAACTTTTCTGCTATTTACTTTTCAGGTTCAGTTGTCACAGTAGTACAAAATATTACAGTTGTTCACTGAATTTGTTTCATGTAATTGAAATATTGCAGCAGAGGAAAGGAGGCACTGTTTAAAAGTAAATTATAAATTGAATTTGTTTTTTATTTCTGACACCCAAATGGTGCTATTAGTAGTTTGTTTAGGTAGGATGGATGATGCTTTTTTGCCTGTTGTAAAGAAGAACTATAAATTTTAGTTGTTTGATAAATTGTGCAAATGTCCACCAACATACAAATGTCAGCTGTAGTAGCATGTACCCATTGTTGATTGTTGAGTATTTGGAACCAGAAAGAGAAGGAAAGAGAGTGAATTGAATAATATTTTGATTATATTACGGTTATAGTGAAATGGTTTAGCACCTGTCTGAAGTGAAAGGCTCAAATTCACTAAAAAATGATTTCAGACAACCCCGCCTCCAAAAAAAAAAAAAAAGAGGTGGGGTAATGTCTTACCTGATGCTTCTCTTTGCGTGTTGTGATTGTTAGTTACAACAGTAGTTGTGACCATGGTTTATGTGTTTTATGTTTGTTTTTACAAGCATATAGTATCCATACTTATGCCTGTATGCTTTCCAAGATACCTCAGAATGATTAATTCAGAAAAGAATCATGGGTCCAGTGTGGTGGCCTAGCAAAGACATCGCCTTGAATACGCTGGGATCCCATATGGGCGCTGGTTCTAATCCTGGCAGCACTGCTTCCCATCCAGCTCCCTGCTTGTAGCCTGGGAAAGCAACTGAGGATGGCTCAAAGCCTTGGGACCCTGCACTGCATGGGAGACCCAGATGAGGCTCTTGCCTCCTGGTTTTGGGTCGGGTCAGCTCTGGCTATTGCGGATTGTTGTGGAGTAAATCAGTGGATGGAGGATCTTTCTCTTTGTCTCTCCTCCTCCCTGTATATCTGACTTGCAATAAAAATAAGTTGTTACAAACAAAGATAAGAATCATAAATGTCACTCAATATTGGATTGTAAACAGGAGAAGCTAAGTATAAAATAGCCTCAAAATTGTCATGTTCTTCCAGCTTATAGTGTTCATATGCAAACCATCTTTTGTTACCAGTATTAGACACATTTCTTGTTACCATTCAGAGAAAAGAAAGAGGTGAATTCACCATAGGCGTAAATTTTGTGTATTTCCTCGAAGGAAGACAAATGTTATTTAATCACTTTATGTTAATGAACTGTTACAGGTGAAGAGGACACGCCACTGTGATTAGATAACACATTCATTATTTAATGAATGAAGAGGACCCTGTTTGTTTTTTTCTTGTGACATTCGTTTCATTCATGCTTTTTCTTTGACCTGGCAAAAACTTGTGAAGTGATACTTCCTGTTCTTTCTCTTTTTCAGCATTGTGAGTGAGGCAGGAGCCTCCATCTACAGTGTCAGCCCTGAAGCCAACAAAGAGATGCCAGGGCTGGACCCTAACTTGAGAAGTGCAGGTAAGAAAGCATGGATCATCACACAGCATGTGATTTTGTATTTTGGACTTACACATGTGGTGAGCTAAGTATTTTAAACATTCAAGGACATTTAAAAGTTATACCACATTCATAAAAACATGAAGTCATTTGGTGATTGGCAGGGTTCTGGGGGAAAAACATGCCTGAAGAAGGCTTAGTGGAATGTGCTTACAGCTTTTAATCTGGCACACTGTCAATGTGTTGAACTTGAGAGAGATGGTGATGACCTAATATTGTAAAGTATACTAGGCAACACTCATTTCTACACTTCCAAATGGTTAATTATGTAAATTTCCCCTTAATAAAAAAAATGAACAATAGTTAGACCTCCTCTTCCACCTGATATAATTGTCCTTATGCTCCGTGTGCAGAATTCTGGGAATTTATTTTCTGGAGAGGATTAAATAGTGGAATAGGCAGCGTACAAATGCCAGGAGGGAATACCTGCTGACAAAGGGGTGGGATTCATGAAATGCTTCCTGTTGTAGAAAAGACCTTGGAGGAGAATCATCCTGTGCAGATTAGAAGAGCCAACACCTAAGCAAGCTGAACTCTGCTCCCACAAAGAAACTCGCAGAGCACCTTTCAGTGAAGCCAACAGTTCCCAGCCTTCCCCGTGAGCTAAACAAAGTAACTGAAGAGTCTTGTCCCTAGGACAGTCAGGAGTCATCTAGCATGCAAGGGAAACCTAGACTGTTAAAGACAGAAGCCAGACTTGCCCTGGAATGGGGTGGGTGTAGGAAGAGTCAGAAGGCAAACAGGAAAAATTAAAAGCTTAATATTCATGGATAAACAAAAGATGTTGTACTCATTTAGAAATACATTTCTATAAAGCAACAATCACATTTTTAGATAGACACGCTATTTGAGTTTTGCAAAGTTTTTACTGGTTTTGTCACCTTAATTATCTTTATCACAGTCAAGATGAAGAGTCTTTTATTGTCATCGTATTTGTCAGACTCTTGTTCAGAAATTTATTCACTGGTTAGTGGGTCAATACTTTTATAGGTTTACTTCAAGTACTAAAATTACATTTTAGTAAGCTTTATAGTAAATGAAATTCTACTTTGGAGTTTTTGAATGAAAAAGATGGCATAGGAAAGTTGTGCTTCCTTTCCTGTGTGCTGTTTTGTGGCATGAAGAATAATATTGGTCTTTAAAAATACACACCTCCGCTCTGAGATTGTTAGCAGCAGTGTAGGGCAGATATAGCAAGGTACTGTCTTTGGGCAGTAAATTGGCTTGCTACACAAGTTTTGGGATACAGACTTTCCGTAGAACTAAAAGGCCAAACTCAAGGGAAATGAAATTATATTATTTAGATGCAAAATTTTTTTAATCCCTGCAACTTTTTTTCATAATACACATTTTTATGAACTAATTTTAAGCCTTGGAATACATGGATTTCAAAATTTGTATTCCAAAATAAGCTTACCTTTTAATTCCATTTTCCGTAAACTTTCCAAAACATCCTTGTATGTCCAAACTGTACCCTTCATTTAACATCTCCCCATTTCTTTTTCCACTCTCTGACTTGTCTTACTGATTTTTGATGACATATGATAGACTATCAGTTTTTGTTTACATATCATTTTAAAATCACTCAACTAATAGAATCTTACTCATTTCGGTACTTTTCAGTTGCTTAAGTTTTCTAGGTAGACAGTCATCATCTACAAATAATAACAGTAATTGTCTAGTCTGCCATTTCAGATTTTGAGGATAGGATCTTCAAAAACTTCTGTGAAAAAGAGTATCATGAAAAGACTCCGCATGGATTATAATAAGTGTCTTTGGTACATCAAAAGAAATTTGTGCTAACTTGCAACATTTGGTTTGAGGCACTGAGAAAGGTAAGACACATCGCTTCTCAGCCTTTTGGCTAAGATCAAGTGCAGAAAGTTAAGACACAATTTGAAAAGAACTCCTGTCAGAGCAACATGGATTCTGCTAAAATGTAAGGAAGAACAACCATCAAATCTGGTGAAACCTGAATGGTAGACTGGTCAGATTGTTCATGAGGATAACACTCCCCAAAAAATCAGCTTTTTGCCAATGATGGGACAAAGTAGGACCAGAATTGTGGCACAAGGAGTTAAACTGCCACTTAAAATGCTGGCATCCCATCATGGAGTGACAATTTGAGTATCAGCTGCTTTCCTTATGATTCAACACCCTGCTAATGCGCCTAGACATGCAGCAGAAATTGGCCAGGTACTTGGATTCCTACCATCTATTGTGGGAGAGCAAAATGGAGCTCCTGGCTCCTGGCTTTGGTCTGGCTTAACCCAAATCTGGTGTTTAAGACCATCTGAGAAATGACTCACCAGAGAGAACCTCTTCCTCTCCATATCTCTGCCTTTTAAATATATAAATTTTTTAAAAGGGATAGGGGATAGAGCAGCATTGAAAAAAAAAAAAAGCCTGCAGTATCAAACTATTCATTAATTTGCAAAAAAAAAAAAAAAAAGTTGATCTTGTTCGTGTCCTGATTGAAGAGGACCAGTAATTCATAGTGCAGAGAGCAATCAACATGATACTGATTTAGCTTATGCAGTTATGACTGAAAATGAGAAAAACTTCCTGCTCTGTGGGTACGCAAACTGTTGTGCTTCAGTGAGATAAAAGCAGAGCCGAAACAGAAATTTTAAGCAAATGAGATGGAGATTCTGAAGCATTTCTTCAAGGAACTGCAAAGTAGAGGGAACGTGGGGTTACCAGTGGAATCCTAAAGACAAAGCGGTGGCTGGCCATAGGTAGACGTGGTACCGTCAGAGTGGATGTAGACTAGCCAGAGGTTTTGAGGGATACTCACCATCACTGTTAGCTTTCTGGAAGGCTCAAGAATGATAGCATCTGAGAAGAGAGTGCAAGCTTTACCAGAAGGCCACTGAAGGAAGAAACTTCTCCACAGATTCCTTGTCTACCACAATAATGTTCCCACACATCCCCCTCACCTAGCCAGGATAATTTGTCAATAGTTACGGTGTAAAGTCATTAAGCATCTACCCTTCAGCTGATTTAGTTCTGATTTCTTTTTCTTTCTTGTTCTGAGGGTGCTTGCTTTCCTTCAGTTAATAATGTAGAAATGAAAGGAGTACAAGAAAGGTATCATCATTTCCAAAATGGTTTTGAACTTGATGGAGCTTATATTTACAAATAAAGTTTATGATTTTGTTTTCATCTTGTAACTCCATTTTCTACAAGCTTTTAAAAGTCTCCATTTTTTCCTTTTTTGACTGAATTGTGTTCACTAAATTACTGTGTCAAATACTAGCTTTGACACAGGAAATTATTGGTGTCATGTGTAAATAATAGTATTTAGCATACATTTGGGCAACCTACATTTTAAAAATATATGACTTCTATATTCAAATACAATTTGTGTGGCATATAATTTACCCTTTTAACGTGAAGAAGTTCTCATTTTTTATTCTATTCTGAGTTGTACAACCATCACCATAATCCAATTTTAGTACCCAGTCATCACCTCAAAAAGAAAATCAGAAATCACCTCCATTCTGAATCCTGTTCTGTATATTTCAAATGAATGGATTTGTATCACATATAATCTTTGGTGACAGGCTTCTTTTACTAAGCGTGATGTTTTCAAGGTTAACTTATGCTGTATGGTTTGTTTTTTTCTTTTTTGCCAAATAGCATTATATGGATATGCAATAGCTTGCTTATTCATTGGCCGATGGATGTTAGGGCTGCTTTTACTGTGCCGTTATACACAGTGGAGTAGAGATTTATGTATAATGTTTTATGTGAGCCTGTTTTTATTTCTCTTGAGTTTATCTCAAAATTAAAATTTGGGTGCGTTTTTAAACTCTGTTTACATTTTCCAGAGATTTTTTTCATCATTCTCTTCCTCTTTCATTGTTTCCTCCTTTTTTCTTCTGTCTCCAGACTTCAGCTCTTGACTCTCAATTCCCTGTGTTAGTAATGTACTAAACTGTCTTGTCCTAAGCCACCTCTCTTATTTGCAAGAAACTGCTGTCTGCCTGATCATGCTTGACTTAGAGCTCATCACCATTACTCCCAACACCCTCATTCTTGGTTATCCTGCATTTGGAAAACAGCACCATCTTTCTAAAGGCTGGACACATGACTTTAGAATTCTTCCATGCTAGGATTTTTATGCTGTGAACATCTGACAGAAGAACACTTTTATTAGAAATTCTCTCAAGGCTGTTTTCTGGGGGACACTGTTATTCGAGAGATTCTCAGAACTTATTTGAATTAAAACTGTTATTGTAACTTAGAATTAATACATATGCCACTTAGAAATCTTCATTTCTAGTCTGTTGTTTGCATATAATGATAGTACGGTCAAAAGAGAACACTAGCAGAGAAGCGATTAGAAGGGTGCCAGGTAGAAAAGAATTTAAAATTCTTCTGTGTGTATTAAAAATGTTAAAATAATTGCTTACCCAAACTTACCAGATTATACAAGTGTTCTAAACTATGTCTAAATTCAGATTTTCAAAAATGTGTGTTTTCTGTGGGGCTAGATTTGAGGACTTTCCCACTGTTGATCTTTTTATTGGTTTTCTAATATTGCCTTCCATATACAGTACATATTCTGATTGTTTTTTATGTTTGTTTGTTTGTTTTTGGGTGGTGGTGGGTGGAAATAGGAGGAGGAAGAGAGGTATCATCTGGTAACTGGTTCACACCCTGGATGCTGCCTTCAGCCAGGGCTGGACCAGTTCACCACAAGCATTTTGAAATTCCATCTGGGTCTCCATGTGGTGACAGAGACCCAAGTACTTAGACTACCACCTACTTTCTCCCAGGAGGTGTGTTAACAGGTAGTTGGAATTAGAAGTGGAGTTAAAACCTGAAACCAGTCATATTGATATGGGATACAAGCATCCTAAACAGTTTCTTAACTGCTGTGCAGACACCCATTGCAGTATGCCTCTGTTGATAGTTTATATCAAGAGCTTTGCCTCGGAAAATATTTTGAGTGAAATGTGTTTGAAAATCATTTTTACTGCATAAGCTTAAAGGCTAGGGCAAAGAAGTAATGTTTATATTAGAGAATTTCAAGCAAATCTCTGACAATCTGTGATTACAAATTATTAGTGCTTATTGGAGGAAAACATTTGACCTGTTACCAGTTTTTGGTAAGGAGTATCCAAAGACCTCAAAATTGTCAGTCTCACCTGTATGAGAACTAAGTAGATCATTTGGTAATGACACAAAATTGTTTTTTAAGCTTGTTTGTCAGGCTGCCACTGTTAGTGTAGGTTAGACATAATAATAAATTGTGTGAGAAAGATCTGAATAATGGGCAGTTAACATATTCACAATAGCTCCTCACTTTGGTGAGAGAAGTGGTGTAGATCAGTGACTGGATCATGCCTTCCAAGAGGTAGCTTCCAATGAACTTAATGTTTCCACTTAATGAAGTTACATTCCATCAGGCAATGTGAAAGGATGAAATTGATTAGCTTTCTCATGCTTGGAAAGTGGAAGCTGTCCATATGTAAGGATTCAATGTAACTGTGCTATTTGAATGTGGAGAGAAACATCATTAAAAATTTTTGTTGGTTACATAAATGTTTTTCTCACTGGATGTTTCTTAAAAACTAACTTAGGAGGTTATATTAATATTTGGTTAAAAGTTGATGACAGTAAATTGTAATCTGTTAAATAATGGCATAGATAAGAAGTAATTGGAGTAAAGTCTAAACTTTCTTTATCATGGATTGTGCTGATCAAGAAAGGAGCGTGACTGGAGATACATGAGTGTTAAGAGACAAGCAATTAAGACTCAACATTATTCTCATTGTCATCATGCAATCATATTCAAGGCCATAGATGTGTGTTCACTGACCAGCTTAACTTGGTCTCTGGTCATGTTAGATTCCATCAGTTATTACTGAAAAATTGCAATTAGGGGATGTAGTCCTAATAAACATTTGATTATAAATTTAAATCATAAGGGCCCAGCTAGGTATCTCAGTGGCTAAAGTCTTCACCTTGCACACTCGGGATCCCATATGGCAGCCAGTTCATATCCTGGCAGTTCTGCTTTCCTTCCAGTTAGCTGCTTCTGGCCTTATTTAAATAGTTTAAATTATTCAAATATTTATAATTAATTTAAATAAGTCAAATTATTGTTGTGGCTATTATTTAAATAATGAATAGAGAAGTATATTTAACTATAGAGTCTGGTTATTCCATTCATTTTCCTAAATCTAAAATCTGTTTTGTTCAAGAATCCTAATTCTGATCATGTGAATTTTTTACATTCACTTTTTGTGGGGGGGTAGGATATACATAACTTTGAAACTTAGTTAAATTGTCTTTTGAAGGAGTTAGGTAGCAGGAAGGGCAGGATTAGGTACTTAGATTTTAAGAAACCAATGTAAGTAATTATCTGAATCCTGCTTTTCACATTATGTCATACTTGTTTTCTGATTTTGTTTTTCAGTTTCCATAGCAAGGCGTGTACAGGATCCATTAGCCGAGCTAGTGAAAATTGAACCGAAGCACATTGGAGTTGGAATGTACCAGGTAAAGCATTGTGGGTCATTTAATTTATCATTAATACAAATCCATCAATACAAAGAGCAGTACTCAAAGCTGGCCGAGTAATGAAGTGCCACTGGGAATAGATTCCCATTTTCAAAGGTTATACATACAGCCTGTGGGAAGGTAGTTTAGAAAATTGTTTAGGAGAGTATCACATCAGTCCAAGTAAGAGATGATGGTTGCTTGGGCAAAGTTAATGCCAGTAAAGACAGAAGAAAATTAAGTCTACTTTGTAGGAATTACTTGGTATTCAGTGAGGAAAAAATTGTCAAGAATTTGCCCCATGGATTCTAGTAGATGGATATTGGCTAAATAGGGCAGATTTGTTGGAGGAAGATCAGTAACTCAGTTTGGGGAATGTTAAGTTTAAGTTACTTTCAGCAGTTCAGGGGAAGGTGTCAAATAGGAGTTGGCCCTACAAGTCTGAGATGATGGGAAACAACTGTATTAACACTGGAAAGCACAGCACATTGCTTAGCAGAGAGTGAAACAGAAAATATTAAAATAGTACTGAGCTCATGATAATTGTATCTATATTACCACAATGGTAGCATATTCAGAACCCTGAATTCCATGAGATAACAGAAAAGGTTTTTATTAATGTGTGGAAAATATGCTTGGAAAATGGTTCCCATCAGTGAATAGAAATCTCGGGAATTTCTAAAGAGCAATAAATATGAGAACCACAACCACAGAGAAATAAAAATTTGGTACAACTAAAACTTGCAACATTTACAGACCAATAATGTTCATGAAGCAGATGCAGTTTCAGGTAAGTCAAACCAGAATCAGGTTGAAGTAATGCCAAAGGAGATGTGTATAAACTAGCCAGGTCCTTTGTAACCCCTTCCTTAGCATAGCGTGAATCCTAGCTGCAACACTAGTTTATCTGCCTAGCAATACTGGGAGAAGCCTCAAGAGGCTTTGGATTGTCAAGAATATCAAGGAGCCCCATCCTGAGCAGATAAATTCCTGACATGCACTTGACACCTAACAGGCATGCCTGCATTTTCGCTGAAGGCCAGAGCAGAAACAGCATAGACAGATGCATGGCAATTCTGAAATGATCTTACTGTCAAAAACCATTTCACATTTAAAGAAAACCTACACTCTCCCCAAGATGAGGCACCAAACTTAACAGAAGTAGTGAAATAATGAATTGGAAGTAGATTTTTATTAGAGAAATTAATAGTCACAGAAAAGAGATTTTGTATTTATAAAAGTTAACATGGCAGAAGGAAGTTAATCTGTTTAATTATCTTAGAATTTTAAAGAATGATGGTAAAAAACATTGAAGGTATAAGATATGAATTCAAATTAAGAAAATGGAGGGAAGGTACAGTTACTGATAATAAAAGAAAAATTCCCCAAACTGGAGACAGGTCTCTTGAAAACTTCTAATGAATGATGAATAAAAGAATAACCTAAAAGACCTGCACTGAAAAATCTTATGAAATTTTAAAATACCAGTAATAAGGAAGAATTGACTAAAAATAAACATTAAGCAAACATAGTTCATCTACAAAGGAAAGCATCAGATTGACCCCAGTGATATTATTGAAAAAATAAGTAATAGGCAGTATTAATGCAGTAGTTTTAAAGTTGTAGGATAATTGTTTTTGAACTTGTAATTTTGAAATCATAATTTTGTAATCAAGCCAACCATCAATTCAGTGTGAAAGGAAAGCAAAAAATGTTTTTAAACATGCTGTAACTCACCCTATGTGAATGTTAGGCTTTCTTTGAAAGAGCTTATGGAAGTATTCCAGCCAGAAAAGGGAGGGGTGCATCCAAACATGGGAAAGACACGTGAGACAGCGACAACCATTGAAACAGACATATGTGTGGACATAGCCAAATGTCACGCTCAATTCTCACATTTTTAACTGTATACTGTTAATATTTAAATCATTAAATATCTGTTTAAAGATATTTGTTTGGAAGTAAAACACACGTAGAGATCTCCCCTTAGCGGGTTCATTCCCCAAAACTCATAATAACTGGCTGGGCTGATGCCAGAAGCTAGGAACTCAGTTTGTAACTCCTATGTGGAGGACAGGAACCACCTGCCGCCGCTTGGCATGTGCATTACCAGGAAGCTGAGATTTGGGCCTTGAACACAGACTCTTTGGTGTGGGGTGCAGAAGTTGCAAAAAATGTAGTACTTGCTGTGCCAATGCCTATTGGTCTTTGAACAAATACCCCTTATCTGAAATACTGTGATCAGAATTGCTTTGGAATTTCCCAAATTTTGGAATATTTGCTTGTGCATACTGATATATCTTAGGACTGAGACCTAAATGTAAACACAAAATTCATTTTTTATACACCTTGGGCAAATAGCCTGTAGGTAATTTTATACAGTATTGCAGTAGTACTGTACATGAAACAAAGTTTTAGAATGTGAAACTTTTCCTCTTATGGGAGATTTCCCTCCTCAAAAAGCTTCCAATTCTGAATTATTTCAGATTTCTAGTTTTCAAATTAGCGTTGTTCTCTACCTATGATTGTCCAGATCAGATCATATCAGCATGGGACAGTAAAAGAGGAGGAGGAGGTAAAATACTAAGATTTTTTTTTTCAGGAAAAGGATTTAGATATAAATTTATTCTAGAATTTGTGAAGAACAACTGGAATACATTGAGGAACCACCACAGTGATTTAATATAAAGCATTATTATCCTTCCAAACAAAAGCTGAGTAAAGACAGTGAGAAAATATAGTACAGAAAAAAAGCATAGTATAGCTAAACAGCAAGTAGTATAAAGAATAGTGGATGAGTTAACTTCCTATAGTAATAGAGCTTTGGACATCATAAAGTAAAATAGAGTTCTAAGCTATATATGTATGAAATGGTTATTTCATAGTAATAAAAATTGTTTCCCCAAAAATATATATGCTTAAGTACCTTGTATTATCAAATAATCTAGCATCAAGAAATATACTGTATAACCATCTTTTCTGGACATTTGAGAATTAGGACAAGTAATTTTTTTTTTGCATCAATAGAGCATTATGCATTAGTGCATAACAGTTTTATTGAGATGTAATCACATGTTCTAGAGTTCACTCATAATTGTTCAAATCTTTGTCATCCTGTTAGCAGTCACTTCCTCCTTTCCCTCCGCGTCTCAAGGCAACCTCTAATCTACTCTCCTCTTAACATTTCATACACCCAAAATGATACAGTATGTGGTCTTGTGTGATTCACTTCTTTGCCTTCTTTCAAGGTTGGTCCATATTGTAGCATGTATCACTAGTTTATTTTTAAAAAATGATCACATAGTATTCCATTTTTATATGTGGAGCTTTCATGCACACAGATATATCCTATACATGTGTGTATACACACACGTATCACATTGTGTTTATCCACTCACCAATTTAATACATGTAGGTTAGTTCTATTTTGTAGCTGTTATAAATAAATAATACTACTTTGAATAATCGTGTGCAGGTTTTTATGTTGCATGTGTCCATTCCCCTTAGATTTGTACTCGGAATGAATTTTTTGTATCATTTTTTTTAGCAGGTATATTTAAGACCAGATGATGGATTGGGAAAATTATTGGCCACAATTGTATATGAATATGAACTATTAACCTTTTTCTTGTTGATCTGTATGAATTTATATGTTGGTTTATATAAAACCTTTACATGTAATTTTTAAAGAACCTAAACTGTTTATCAAATATAAGTTTCTCTTAAACTCCAACCAATTGTTAGTTCAGTCTAACATTTCAGTAAAATTATGATGAAAAATGAAAAATCTGTGCAGATGAGGAAAGAATAAAATGAGCATTCATATGTGTTGCAGGTAAAGTATAAATCTGGTAAGCTTTATACACAAGTAAGCTGCAATAACAGAATTATAAAAGTATCTTTGATAGAAAGTTATAGACTACCCATCAGTTGAAATATTAACCATTATAAACTCAGGCGTCCAAGATTTTAGCAACATGAGAAATTATTTTAGTATTTTTAAATTGCCATAAACTTTTTGATGCAGGGTAAAACTAATTTTGCTTTTATGTATGAGTATAAAGAAAATGTGAAGAAAAGAAAACGTGGCCAGTGCCTCATCTGTATATCTTTACTTGATGTAATTGGGGGAATGTTATGGTCTTTTTTACTACCCTCTCAAACTTTCTATAGTGAATATGCACTAAGAAAAATTCCTGTAAAATGTGTACCCATTTTATGTCTCAAACAGTTGATACTTTGAAATTCCAGTGCAACCACAGTGGAACTGAATTTCCTTTTTAACAGGATCTTCTAGGTGCTTTTGGTATAAATTTGATACTTTCATTGTGAGTTAAGATAAGAGTAATGGATAAATATTGCTGATTTAAAGAATAAAAGCTATTCAAAGAAGGAATGCTTAATAGATGAAATAATAGAAGCTACAACAGTGTCATTTCAATAGAAACTAAGATACTTTCAGTTTAATAACAGCTAAAATGCTAAAGGCAGCACTCTAGTCCTTGTCTTAGAGAAAGGGGAGAGTTGATTTTAAAAACACATGTCTGTCATTATTTCTGGAGAGAGAAGCAGCCAGTGTGGTCGAAGGACAACATATCCCTAACTGAACCCTAAAGACTTTGCTGGAAAAGTGGCTTGGTATTACTCCCAAAAAAAACACTCTAGGGTGAGGGCAGGATGAGGCAGGGGTTGGCTGGTTTGAGTTCTGTGGGACATGGGAATGGTGGTTTCACTTGGCCCTGTCATACCTTAAAAGCACAACTTAACTCAGTTGGATTTACTTATATTTATTTCTTTTTTGGGCTATGTTTTAGACACTTTTATGCTCATTAACACCTCCATTCGGTAATGAGCATAAGCAGTAACGTGGGAAAGATTCAGAACAACTTCTTCGTTCCTTTCGTGTCTCTCTGTTAGATCATTTGACAAAGCAAAGAATAAAATGGTTATCCAAAATAAGTTTTTGGAATGTGTAGTGGCTTCTATATCCAGGCCATCTT